TTCTATAAAAGAGCCTTTGGAAGGGACCTGCAATTTCAGGATGTATTTACAGGATGAGATGAAAAATTAGACTTAGAGCAGTTAAATAGTATTAGTATTACCGACAGATGTATACTCACAGCCATGAGTTATGATTATTCAAACTGTAGACCCTTTATGGGGGACGGTTCTGCAGCATTTGAACAGGGTGAGATGAAAAAAAAACTGCAACCAACTTCAGACTGCTGTCGCTTCTAAGCCATTCGTCCGACAGCTGTTAAAATTATTCCAGTGACAGCTCATTATATTGTTTACAAGCGTACAGAAGCAGTTTGCGGAGAATTTCCCAGAAAAAAAGTTATTCCGGATGGAATTCAAGCGTGATAGTGTGATTTCTTTATATTTGGCTGGAACCAACCACAAGTGGCTATCGTTAGAGCACTCCAGCATTTAAATGTGAATAAAAATCTTTTGTGTCTCGTATGAGAAGAGAAAGACAAACGAATGGTTTGGCTGTTGATTCAATTCTCGATCCGGCTCGGAGGATAAAATGTAAACGAGAAGAGAAACACGACCGCTTCGTTAGGGTGTAATTTAAATTTTATTCCGGATCCTGCTCGGATGATCAATGTAAATGAGGATGGAATCAAATCTCCCTCTTCGGTTGTCAATTCTATTCTCTATCCGGCTCGAAGGACCAAATGTTTAAGCGAGTAGAGAGAGACAGGGTGGCTTTACATTTCATTCAAGTGGTCTTGTACATCTACTGAGCTCATCGATATCTGTGCGTGTGGGCCATAACCTTTATTATCTCACACATTATCGTATGCGTCAGCGCACAAGATCACCGAATTGTTCACATGTGGTATTTGATGGCGGCTGGGAAATATGAATTTCAGAATGTTTATTGCTAGGTTTTCCCAGCGCCTCAACCACACTCAAAAGGGGGTACAAAGTATTTTGTACAACCGTGATACTGGTATCGTAGCCCGATGTCAAGGAAGTGGACGGAAGAAAACAGCAACATAAGCACAAATGGTTCGAGCGACTTGATCGAAACCCGCGTCGCCGCATTGCCCAAAAAAATGGCTCGTGAGCTGAACATATCGCAATATTCCATTCGGCAAATATTGAAAAATGAGCTCGGGGTAAAGCCATTGAAATTCCAAAAAGTGCAAGAACTTACACCGCAACAGAAAGAAAATAGACTCAAAAGAGCTGAAGAGTTGCTTCGCGGTGAATTGCCGAATTTGATTTTTTTCCGATTAGAAAACATTCGTTGTCCAGCAGTTTGAAAAAAATCAAAATGATCGTGTTTACATGCCAAAGAGGTCAGCTGTAAATGTGCACCTTCGGTTGGCCACCAGAACTCAAGCGCCGGCTGGCCATGGTGATGGTGTGAGCCGCCATAACAGCCGATGGTCGCTCTCCGCTCGTATTAATCTGCGGATTTTTAAAAAACAGTTTTTTAAGACCAATATAATTTGGATTTAAAAAAAAAATATTTTTTTTTAAGGGCCAACGGATCGAAGATTAAAAAAAATATTTTCTTGAGGACCAACAGAAAGAGGATGTTTTAAAAAATATTTTTTGTGAACTTACAGGACATGGACTTTCTAATGCATAGTTTTTTCAAGGACCAAGCAACGAATGTGTTATTTCCCAAAACTTTTTTTCAAATGCCACTAATCGCTGATTTTATGGCGGTGTGAGCCGCCATAACAGCCTATGGTCGCTCTCCAGTCGTATTAATCGACCGTGGCATCAGAATAAATGCCGAATATTATCACGAAAATATTTTGGAGGGTGTATTAAAGCCTTGAACATGCAAACATTGTGGCCGCAGACCTTGGACATTCCAACAGGACTCAGCACCATCGCACTTAGCACGCGCCACCCAAGAATGGTTGAAAAATGAGGTTCCTCGCATCATTTCCAGCTCACAATGGCCACCAAAATCTCCGGATACCAATACTTGGACTATTGTGTCTGGGGTATTTCGAAAAGTAAGGTTGGCACTAAAAAATATCAAAGTGTCGATTACCTCAAGCAAGCGCATCTCCGGGAATATACCAAAATTCCGCAGAGCAACATTCGGGCAGCGTGTGACAGTTTCATTGGCCGTGTGAAGGCCATAATTCGTGCCAAAGGTGACCAATTCGAACAAATCTAAACTTATTCTAAAATGTGATACTATTTCCGACATTTTTTGGTTTCATTCAATAAAATTAAAAAAAAAAATGTAAAAATTATGGCGTTTGACTTTGTTGCAGTTTTTTTCTCACCCTGTATAATGTCAAGTGTTTTCTATAGAAGATCTTTTGTAAGGATAATTTGCTTCCAGGACCTTCGAATTTCAAGTTTTTATAATTGGCCATTCGATTGGCTTTAACTATCCTTTATTATTTAACAATAACTAAAATGATGTATAAAATATAAAACAAACACGTTGAGATTATTTTTGGTCGAGAGAGGCAGGCATTTATCCCCTCCTACCCCCTCTAGGACCGGCCATACTCCAAAAAAAATCCCAAGGAAAAAAGAGTGAGCGACCATGTAGAAAAAGTAATATATTAAATGTATTTTTTGTACAAATGCCAAGTCAAGTGAAAAGCATGTAAGCAGGACGACCAGAGGCAAGCCGACGAGTTATATTTCATGGCTTCAAAAAAAAAAGCAACGAACACAAATTGTTTATGTGTGTGTGAAAGCCTTTGTTTGCTAGCGAAGCAAACGAAGTAAATCCTTGAAGGAAAAACAAAACACACAATACCCTTTCCCTGGGTAATCTATGTAATATTGCTAGGTTGACTGCATCAATTTAAATTTTGAGGTTATGTGAACATAGAATGCCTACAACTAGACATTTCCGACTCTTGGAAAAATGTGTCAAACCTTAATTTTATTTAAAGATCCAAGTTCTTTTGACCTCAAAATTAAAAAGAATTACAAAGCAGCTAAGTTCGGCCGGGCTGAACAATTAATATCCTCCACCATTTGGAAGGAACTTTTCTTATATCTGGTGTCTGGTGTTTCAATTATGTGGTGTTACAGTTATAAACGAAAACCTGGACCTCTAAAGCCAATAATCTACCAGAGAACCACAAGTTTCAGATAATTCTGCTGAAAAATCTAGCTATAATCATCAAAATACCGAATATAGAGAGGTAACGTTATATAAGAGCTCTACGAAAACGTGGAACCATATAGCCGATTATCAGCCATAGAAAGCGTCATAGGTGGTAGTACCCTTTGCAAACTGCAAATTCCGAAATGAAATAATTCTGATGAAAGGGTGGTAAAAATCATCAAAACGCCGAATTTCTGGGGTTACAGTTATGTGGGGACTACACTAAACTGTTGACCTCTACGGCCAATTATCTGCCAGATAAGGTTGTGCCTCTTGCTGCGAACAACAAGTTTGAAATTCCGAATATTTGCAGGTAACGTTATATATACCAAAACCTGGACCAATACAAGGATTTTCCCTACATACTTGAATACATGCTCACAATTGACAGCAAATTCGGTATGTGACTATAACACCCGAAAAAAGCTTAAATCTAGAGGTAATGTTATATGGGGCCTTTACCAAAAGTGTGGACCTTTATAGCCCATTTTCAATACCAAAAGTCCTGAACACATAAGTCTCTTTTGAGTCTATTTTCTTTCTGTTGCGGTGTAAGTTCTATCACTTTTTGGAACTTCAATGGCTTTACCCCGAGCTCAAAATTTGAGTATCCATGAAGCTCATAAAACGCGAAAATAGCGTCCGATTCCATTCAGACTTGGCACATCTCAATATTTTCATCAACGTAAGATCGGTCATAAAGATGGTTAAGGTCGGCCCATTCCTTCAGGTACCTTCCCCACAAAGTGTCAAAATCTTGAAAAACTAAAACGATCATTACATCCGAAATAAGCATCCGGTTCTCTTCAAATTACACAAATCACTATATTTTTATTAACCCAAGGCCTGGTGTGAAGATGGAAAATATCGGTCCACTCCTTCAAGTACTTCCCCCACAAAGAGTCAAATTTTTGAGTGTTCTTGAAACTCATAAAACACGAAATTAACATCCGATTCCATTCGGACTTGCCACATCTCAATATTTTCATCAACGCAAGATCGGTCGTAAAGATGGTAAAGATCGGTCTACTCCTTCTGGTACCTCCCCCACAAAGGGTCAACATTTTGAATAGCTAAAATGATCATAACATTCGAAATAAGCGTCTGGCTCTCTTCAAGTTACACAAGTCACAATATTTTTATTAACCCAAGGCCTGGGTTAATAAAAATTGAATACATCGGTCGACTCCTTCTGGTACCTCCCCCACAACTCTAAATTAACATCCGATTCCATTCAGACTTGGCACATCCCAATATTTGCATCAACACAAGATCTGTATCCAGCTACTATTGGTACTTTTAAAAAATTGCCGTATTAGACCCTAAGTTTTATTTTATTTCCTTCCGCCGGTATAAAAATAGTATTATCGCATGGTCGACCATGTCAGCTGTGTAGACCCTTTTTTCCTCTCAAAATATTTTGAAACTTCCAGTAACAAAATGTAAACAAAAGCCCATACCATATCAACTGTTGTTGTTATTGGTTTTTCGTTTTTTTTTTCTCTCTCTTCCTTACTTTATCGTCCTTTGTTACAACCTTGAAATACATTATTTGGCATTTATTGTCGGACAGGCAGGCTGGCAGGCGTTCAGGCCGACAGGCTGTTGGTATTTTATTGCTTTTAATTTTGTTTTCGTTTATTTTCGTAAATAAAACAACAACAATAACAACCGTTTGCTTTGTTGTAAAAAAATATTTTCCATTTTTTTGTTGTTTCGTTTTAAATCCCTTAAGGATATGCAACAATTTTGTAGAGGATTTAATGTTGTGACCCTAAAAGTGTAGTCTGTGAAATTGTAAAACATATGTGCACCTGAAAGTATGCAACAATATTTTTAATGACATTTCTCTCTCTCTCTCTCTCTCTCTTTTTTTGATTTTTCTTTACAGATTGTGCAATACTTTGTTAAGGGAATAGGAAGTGGAAGAAGCAACGAGTGCATGTGAAAAAGAGGTAAGATTCGACATGGAGATTACTTTTGTATTTATTTTTAAGTAATTGGATGCTGTTGGTTTTGTATGTTTGTATGGGGCAGTAGGGCTCCAAAACTTTGTAATTTTAATTGGAAGTAATAAATTTTGAAGAGAATTCAGTTTTGGAGAGTACAACTATCAATCGGAGGATATGGATTTATAAAAACAATTGCTAGAAAACCCCAATTATTCAGGGCGAGATAAAAAAAAACTGCAACAAAGTCAAACGCCATAATTTTTACATTGTTTTTAAATTTTATTGAATGAAAGCAAAACAATTCGGAAATAGTATCAAATTTTAGAATAAGTTTAGATTTGTTCGAATTGGTCACCTTTGGCACGTATTATGGCCTTCAAACGGTCAATGAAACCGTCACACGCTGCCCGAATGTTGCTCTGCGGTATTTTGGCCCATTGCCGGCGAAGCGCTTGCTTGAGATGATCGATACTTTGGTACTTTGTAGTGCCAACCTTGCTTTCCAAAATACTCCAGACACAATAGTCCAGCGGATTGGTTCCGGAGATTTTGGTGGTCATTGCGCGCTGGAAATAAAGCGAGAAACCTCATTTTGTAACCATTCTTGGGTGGTGTGTGCTGAGTGCGATGGTGCTGAGTCCTGTTGGAATGTCCAAGATCTGCGGCCAAAATGTTTGCGTGCCCAAGGTTTTAATACACCCTCCAGAACATTTTTAATACACCCTCCAGAACATGTTTTCACATCGGAGAAAACCAAATTCGGCAGTTCACCACTTTCGGCCAAGCGAAGCAACTCTTTAGCTCTTTTCAGTCTATTTTCTTTCTGTTGCCGTGTAAGTTCTTGCACTTTTCGGAATTTCAAAGGCTTTACCCCGAACTCATTTTTCAATATTTGCCGAATGGAATATTGTGATATGTTCAGCTCACGAGCCATTTTTCGGCCACTGCGACGCGGGTTTCGATCGTCGCTTCTTTACTTTTCTAACCATTTCTGCTGATGAATATACCCGTCAGGATATTTTCGCGATAATATTTGGCATTTATTCTGGTCGATTAATACGAGAGGAGAACGACCATCGGATGTTATGGCGGCCCATACCATCACCATGGCCGGCGCTTGAGTTCTGGTGGCCAACCGAAGGTGCACACTTTCAGCTGACCTCTTTGGCATGAAAACACGACCATTTTGTTTGTTTGGAGATACCAAATTCGGCCAAGCGAAGCAACACTTTAGCTCTTTTGAGTCTGTTTTCTTTCTGTTGCGGTGTAAGTTCTTGTACTTTTTCGAATTTCAATGGCTTTACCCCGAGCTCATTTTTCAATATTTGCGAATGGAATGGAATATTGCGATATGTTCAGCTCATGAGCCATTTTTTAGCCACTGCGACGCGGGTTTCGATCAATTCGCTTTTCTTACTTTTCGAACCATTTCTGCTGATGTTGCTGTTTTCTTCCGTCCACTTCCTTGACGTCGGGCTACGCTACCAGTATCACGATAACGAGCGATTGTACGATACACAAAAGTTTTATTCACATTTAAATGCTGGAGTGCTCTAACGATAGCCACTTGTGGTTTTCCAGCCAAATCACACTATCACCCTTAAATTCCATCACTAAAAACTTTTTTTCCGGAAACTTCTCAGCAAAATGCTTTGGTACGCTTGTAAACAATATAATGAGCTGTCTCTGGAATAATTTTTACAGCTGTCGGACGAGTGGTTTAGAAATGACAGCAGTCTGGAGTTGGTTTCAGTTTTTTCATCTCACCCGTTATGCTCTTCCTCTGGGGTTTCCTAAAATCCATAGAATTTTATATTTCCTGATTATCCCACCTTTGCAGAATTTCATTACCAATTTTTTGTCATTTTTCCTTAATCTAATTTTAATGAAATGCAAATTTTCTTTTAATTTTAAACACCAGACCTAAGAGTGATTGTCAATTAAGTTGTTAAGATAATACCTATCCTCAAAACACTTTGTAATTCGTTTGAAATTCCCAAATTCCCCTTGTAGTGGTGGCAATACTTGTGGGGAATTTGAATTAATCATGACAATTTGTTGCCATGTTAAGTTTTTTTTTTGGTTCTTCTTCATGTGTCTTAATTCGTTTCACAAATTAATTTTACTTTGGGGGAAATGCAAAAATTGACATTTAAAATTTAAGCTACGTTCAATTTTCGCAAAAAGTTTCAGAGATAAGCCACAACACAACAGGGCAAGTGAGAACTTAAGTGTTTAAAGTTTTTTTTTTTTGGGGGTGGGGGGTGAGGGAGAAAGGTGGTCATGGTTAAAGAACGTTTTGCAATGGAAAATCCATTTAAATATAATTGTTTTTAACACAACTCCCCAAAGTAGGCTACATATTTGTTTAAGCCCAATAACCCTGAAATTATGTGAAGTGAAGTGTTATGTGAAGTGAGTGCGGGTAAATACAGAGTAAAATTAGGGCTGCTAGTATTCATTTGCTAATCATGAATCAGAAATAGTAAAATATATTTAGGGCCACCGACGTACTTATATATCTAAATAACTTATATATCTAAATATCCGCAAAAACACCTTAAAATGTGGAACCTACTTCATTTTCTTCGGAAACTAGAGTGATTTCCAAAAACAGGCAGACAGATGGAGGGACGTGGCATAGTATCCAAAGTGCTTATTTCAGGGCCTTACAAATGGTATGGCAAATTTAATATACTCATACTATGTTGTAGGGTATAAGAATCCAACATCCATTGAAGCTTGGAAAATATTTTTAAAAAATCCCCGCTTAATTCGTCCTTTGATAAAAACATTTTTGAAAAATCCCCTCTTGGTTCATCCAAAAAAAATATTGAAAAAATATTTCTAAAAAAATCCCCGCTGGAATGGCCAACTTAATATACCCATACTATGGTTGAGGGTATACAAATCCACCCTCTATTAAAGCTTAAAAAATATTTTTTTAAAAATTCCCGCTTAGTTCGTTCTTTAAAAAAAATAATTTTAAAAATTCAAGTTCAAATCGTTGTTTGAAAAAAAAATATTTTTAAAAAATCCCCGCTTTTTTATTGAAAAAATCAAAGCTTAGCTCGTCTTTTGAAATTTTTTATTGAAAAATCAAAGCATAGTTCGTCCTTTGAAAAAATATTTTTTAAATAAGTTTAATTCCTTCCTTGAAAAAAAATTTTAAAAAAGATCGTCCTTTGAAAAATACTTTAAAAAAACCCAAGTTAAATTCGTCCTTTGAAAAATATATTTTGTAAAAATCTACGCTTAGTTCATCCTTTGAAAAAATATTTATTAAAAATCTACGATTAGTTCGTCCTTTGAAAAAAATATTTTTTAAAAATCCACGCTTAGTTTGTCCTTTGAAAAAAATATTTTTAAGAATTCTGCGCTTAGTTCGTCCTTTGAAAAAATATTTTAAAAAAATCCAATCTTAGTTCGTCATTTAAAAAAATATTTTTAAAAAATCCCCGCATAGTTAGTCCTTTGATAAAAATATTTTTAAAAAATCCAAGCTTAGTCCGTTCTTTGAAAAAAATTTTTTAAAGAATTCCCTTTTAGTTTGTCCTTTGAATAAAATATTTAAAAAATCCAAGCTTAGTTCGTTCTTTGAAAAAATATTTTTTAGAAAATCCGCACTTAGTTCGACGTTTGAAAAAATATTTTTTAAAAATCCAAGCTTAGTTAGTCCTTTAAAAAAATATTTTTAAAGAGTCCTCCTCCTGGTTCGTCTTTTGAAAAATTATTTTTCAAAAAAATCCACGTTTAGTTCGTCCATTGAAAATAATATTTTTTTAAGTCTACGTTATATTGGTACTTTGATCTTTTTCCAACTTCTCTTGAAAATTTAAAAAAACGTTAGCCTGTTTTTTGAAAAAAAAAATATTTTTACTAAAATCCCCGCTCTGTTGGTCTCTAAAAAAATCTTTGCTTCTTGGTCCTTTGGTGATTGAAAAAGTCCTTTTTTTGTTCAATTCGTGCTCCTTTTGGTCGCCAACTTCTGATGGTTATCTACAAACATTTTGGCCGCAGACCTTGGACGTTCCAACAGGTCTCAGCACCATCGCACTCAGCACGCGTCAACCAAGATTGGTTACAAAATGAGGTTCCTCGCTTTATTTCCAGCGCACAATGGCTACCAAAATCTTCGGATACCAATCCGTGTCTGGAGTATTTTGGAAAGCATGGTTGGCACTCAAAAATACCAAAGTGTCGATCACGTCAAGCAAGCGCTTCGCCGGAAATGGGCCGCAGAGCAAGATTCGGGCAAATCTAAACTTGTTCTAAAATTTGATGCTATTTCCGAAATTTTTTTGCTTTCATTCAATATAATTAAAAAAAAATCTAAAAATTATGGCATTTGACTTTATTCCAGTTTTTTATCTCACCCTGTATGACATGATATTCATGCCTGAAAAATATATATTTAAAAAATTTACTTTTTTTTTTTTTTTGATCTTCTGAAAATATTAAAAGACGTTATGCTCCTTGGTCCCTTGGTGCTTGAAAAAGTACTATTTTAAATTCAATTCGCACTCCTTTTTGTCCCCAATCTCTGATGGCCATCTATGCAGAATGTCTTAAAGATTTTTCTTCGTACATATACAAATGATTAAAACCCCATTCGTCCATACAGAAGACCTTCTTCATTGTCATACTTACCTTTATCTCATTTTGCACACATTTCCGATCGATTCATGTCCCACTCACACACAATTTGATACAGTTTCCACTGTCAAACCACCATTGCCTTAGTTTGTTATTGATTTTATCTATCAAGTGTCCCCCCCCCTTTACTTTCGCTTCGTTATCTGCCACCATGACAATCAGTTATACACTTATTGTTGTTATTTCAATCGCTCAAACCGGTGGCCTAGTCATCATCGAAGCTGATAGGCCATAAAGAAAAAAAACTCAATATTGAATTGTATTTGTCATAAAATCATATTCTAATTGATGTTGTCAATTTGTAAACCAATAAATTAGATTACAATCATTGAGGGGCCGAACTGGCG